GGGGCAGGCCCTCCTCCTCGGCTCTCGGGGTCGCAGCACTGACTCCCACCGAGGCTCTGCGTTGCAGGAACAGTCTCTCTCTTCCTTCTTTACAGAATCCAGCGTGCGTTTGCCCCGTTAGCAGTTGTGGGTGGGCCCCATCTTGGTTGCATCGTGAAGGCTTCTGCCCCAAAGGACACTCCTAGAAAGGCAGGGATCTCGGTAGCGGCAGGCGGTGGCCCCAAAACCAAAGGGGATACCCTGCATTCAGCCGTTGCCCCCAAGACTAACGGGTATCTCCTGCATCCAGAGCTGGTCGTGAAGAGCGCCCAGTAAAGCCAGTGCTCCCAGTCCCTGCTATCAGGCAGACTTCCCTAACAGACGAGAGTTTTCCTGGAGGCTAGTGCACGTGCTGACCCCTATCAAAAGCCAGACCGGAGCGTTTCCGAGGGGGACTTGCAAAGGTGCTCCAGAAAAACAAAAGTATAGTAGGTGGGGTTTGTGCACACCGTGAATTTGCAGGTCTGTGAGCCGACTGCCATTTGTGGACTAGCTGGTGAGATGGTGTTGCAGCCGGCAGGAGTTCTTGGTAACATAACTACTCGTGCCCTCCCGCCTGCACAGCGGCAGTAGTCGCAGCTCCTGCAATCAGAGTCTCGTGCTTGGCCACTCTCAGGAGGGCTGTGGAGGTTCCTATCTTGTGTGTGTGACCAGAGTCACTTATGTGCAGCCTCAGCAAGTCCCGTTGCTGTCCCGTGAGGGCAGAGGGAGGGCCGCTTAGTCCCTTGTAACCTGAGTTTCCAAAACATGTTGGAGCACGGAGCAGAGGACAGGAGTTCTCTATTGTGGTGCCAAAGTACAAGTAAAGAGGCAATGAGCTTTAAACACTAGACTTTGTGGCCAAACACCCAGCCAGCCTTCTACGTGGGCTTCTGGGAGCATGCCTGAAATGATGCCGAGCACCTCATTCGGGCACGGGACGTGCTGCGGTAGAGTCATCTTGTTTGATGCTCTTAGCAGCAGTCAGTGAGTTTCTGACCCTCCCCTTGTTCCCCTGCAAGAAACTGGGCTAGGCTGTTTTGGGGACTAGCAAAATTCTCCTTGACCTTTATGGCAATTTTTGTATGCCAAGCACAGGAATGGATTACATCAGGTTACCAGATTGTATTAAAAGGTTGGATGCAGATCAGATTTCTATGGTTGTTAAAATGTAGGCAGACCAGAAGATGGGTTCTCCATATCATTGGCATTCAGCAGGGAGAGGGTTGCTGACCACAAGACTGGAGAGTCTGGTGTTTTAATCCAAGCTCAGAAGCTGCCCATATCTCTGATCTCTACTGTCTTCTCTAGGGATCCACATGGGTTTAAATGATATAGAAGCTGAGGGAAGGGAAGAACAGTAACTCGGGGGACACATGAAAGCCATATCTCTCTCCACCTTTTTGCTGCAGGGTGAGAAAATAGCTATGCATTCATGATTTCCTTCCAGTTGCAAAGGAATTTGCCCCTTCAAGAGGCAAAACGCCAGTACTGGCACTTTGTGCACAGAGCACTGCTGCTAGCTTCTCTCCCTCATTGCAATCTGGGTATAACCATCAGGCTCTTGCTGGGTCTAGCGTGTGTCCTGGAGTGGGTGCCGTGTGCGGCACGTGTAGTGAAGCAGGTGATCCGTGACCTTGCCACAGACGGCGCCCGCTCTGGTCACCCCTTCTCTGCCTGTTCTGAATCCAGTGTGGAGCAGATGCATACTGGAGCAGGCACCATGTGCAGCATGGTCCTGGAGCAGCCAGAGCAGGTGCTGCATGCATTGCACAGGGCCATCCAGCCCACCCCACATGCTGCCTGTGGCTCTGCTTGATAGGGCTCGCCAGGCCATATTGTGAACTAAACCAGGGTGTCAACAAGTGTCTGATTGCTGCAGTTTAGCTTACTGTACATCGGAAAAATATCTCTGTGCATGATGCAAGGGCTGCCTGTCGTGGTGCTGCAGACTGCTGCCAAAAGGAACTCCCTCCTTTGGGAAATGGCTGAGGTGTGTTCCACATCTCCTGAGACTTACCTGACCAAAAGATATCCAATACCAGGTTCCCTCTTTAAATCTGTTTATAAAAGGCAAAGTAGCCTCTTTCTGCAGCACCATTTCTCTCATCCCAACTAATTGTTACCTTAGGTCACACTTCCAGGGCTAATAGTTCACTCCAGATGATAATGTTAAAGGAGAATAACATGTTACGTTGATAAACACATCAGTAGGTGTTAAATGGTTTCAATGGCTTATTCACCTACCTTATCCATTTATTGAAACAAATTATAAAGGGGACCCTAATATATAACGTGACCAGTTTCTCTGAATAGATGCTGTCTGATTATTAAAAAATGTTTTCTGCCTTGCAGGTAACAGCTGAATCCAAGGTAAGCATGCCAAGTCGTACTCCCCAGCCTGGCTTACTTTCTTCATTTCTCTCTTTAGACATAGCATCAAATGCTTTCACGCTGCACCGTCACGTAGTCCGCATGCACTCTGTGCAGTGTTTGGGTGTGAATGCCATAGGGGATGATCATTTGCCTGCTTGGAAGCATGTGTGAAGAATGTGTAGTCTGGCTAATAAATATATAAAGAAGTTTCTCTCCTGCTGTAGTCTCTCTCATACCCTCTTGCCCCGGTGTGGGTAACAGCTGGTTTCTTAAGTAGGGCAGGGAGGAGTTGCCACAAGATATGTGTGGTTTTTAAGAAATACTGGACATCACCATCCATGTGCGAGTGTGCTTTCAGACCTGCACTGTGAGCTGTTGCCTTACTTCTCCCAAGTATTTATTAGGCCCTAGCCGTGAACAGCAATCTTAAGGCTGTTAAGCAAAGT